AATTATTTTTTAAGAGGAACTGGAAAAAGGATAGAGAGGTAAATACTCAAGTTAGTCCAGGATGCTGCTCAAGATGAGTTTTTGGTAGCTGGGCTTGGTGGTGCACACCTGTAATTCCAGCACTTGAGAGGCTGAGGCAGGAGGACTGCCTCAAGTGCAAGGCCAGCCTGAACTCCAGAGCAAGACCCTGTCTCAAAAAAATAAAAACACAAATGATCAGTTTGTAAGGTAATGACTTCTGGTACGTTTTTTAAAAGTAGTTTATTGTATACATTGACATTAAAATCGGTATCTCTAACTATAGCAAGTTACGGTTTGGTTGTTTCTTTTACAGGACTTTAAAATGATAAATAAAGAATTAAGCGCAACCAAATTTGTGGCAGTAATAGCAGAGGATAATCCTTTCATACATGATGGAATTGACAGCAACTTTGAACTTGAGGTTTGTAAAGCTGTGTCAAAATGGTACAAATCCGATTCAGGGTGTTTGTTTTGCTTTGGATACCAAGAACCAAGATTTATCTAAAATAATACGAATCCAGATACATAAAGATACACATACATACACACATGTGTATGTCTGTATAGCCTTGATTGCATTAAAATACTAGAGATTAATATTAGAAAGAAGGTTATTGTAATAGGTATTATTTTTGAGAGAGGCTCACTGGATATTCCAGGCTGGTCTTGAACTATGTAGCCCAGGCTGGCCTCAAACTCATGGCAATCCTCCAGCCTCAGCCTCCTGAGTTCTGGGATTATAGGTGTGTATAGATGCCCCCCCCCCCGGCCTCATGCAGTCATGGATGGGCTTCTAGAGTTTGTGACTGATCCATGATCCAATGCTGGGATTATGGGTGTGAGTGCTGCACCTGCCCTGGGATGGAAGCCTGCATACAGTATAAAGGAGGGAAAGAGGCTTGCTCTCCCCTCCCTCTTTTTGCTCTTGTTGCTCTTGTTGCTTTGGCCACCATGAACTGTTGCTCCTCTGCCATGCCACCCTTCCTTGGAGCCAGCTGATTACTGACTGAAACCTCCACAAACTGAACTAAACGAATCTTTCCTTCCTTAATTCTGGGCGTCAGGTATTTTGTCTCAGCAGAGAGAAAAAAGTAACCAAGACAATAGTCATGCACCATCACGCCGGGCAGAAGGGTACTGCAGATGTCAGAAATGATAACTAAGAAACGAACTCCCAGATCAGTCGCTGTCCTGCCACTTAGTGCATCAGAATGAATGAGACTCCTGTGTTTTCTGATATTTCAGCTGGTTTTCCTGGAATTCTTTGAAGCTCTTGTATCCTTCTCGCTCACCTTTGTTCCTGACCAGAAGACTAAATTGTCTTTAAGTGTTCCATGTGATGATGTCTCTGGAAACAGAATCGGAAGTACTCATACACTAACAAATCAGGTAATAATACCTTAGAGCTTACAAAGCAAGGGGGTGATTTTATTTTGGAATGGATGAACCTTCATCAAAATGATCTTGCATGTTTGTAATGCTTCCATCCAGGAAATAGCTTAAGACTTAAGACAACCTATGATGTATGTTCACATTTTGAAAGGAGAGTACTGTTTTTGGTTTGTTTTTTTTTTTTTTTTTTTGGTCTTTTTGACACAGGGTCTCACTCTCGAGTTCAGGCTGGCCTTGAGCTCACTTTGTAGCCCAGGCTGGTCCTGAACTCACAGTGATCCTCCTGCCTCAGCCTCCTGAGTGCTGGGATTACAGGCGTGCACCACTATGTCAGGCCCTGTTTTGTTTTTTAAATTAGGAAGAATGTATTTCGGGGTCAAGCCCAGGAAGGTGACTCCTAGTCCTAGCAGTGGAAAAATCAGTGAAAAAATCAGTGAAGTCTGTGTGCTCACTGACGGCACCAGGCTAGACGGTCTGAGGTGGGTTGTTATGCGATTCTTCTTTACACCTATGTAGTGTTTATACAAGTGGAAAATCTGTCCCAGAGCACAGCTGTCAAGGAAGAGGTCCTCGAGGTTGGAGCTTGCTCCAAACATAGATGCCCTAGGTGCCACCATGGCACCCTGGCAGCACAAGGACTGTGCTGGAAGTTTTAAGGACCCAGAATCTGGGTCAAACTCAGACCAGATAGTGTTTTGGTGGGGATTTCAGCTTAGTGGGCTTGAAGGATTTCTGACTTTTGAGACATTCATCTGGAGGCACAGGGAAAGCCTGGGGTCCCAGTGAGCGCTGAGTGGTGAGACCCTTCAGAGCCTCTCAATGGGGTGGCTTCTCACTGTGGGCTGAGGAGCGTCTTTTTCCACACATCCTTGGCACATGCCTTGGATTCCTCGTAGGGAGGCTGGGGGCTTTGTGTTCTTCTCCGTTCTTCAGTGCCACCACATTAGCCTGCCTGGCGGCTCCAACTGATGGCTTCTCCAGGTTGTCTGGGGCTGTATTCTGAGAGAAATGAATGTTCACCTTGAATTGATTCATAATTTCATGGATGGAGTAACAGCTTTTCTTACTGTGATGAAACACCCGAGGCAGGATAACTTTATCAATAAAAAGGTCCTAGAGTTCAAGGGCTCACATCTGCTGATGGCCTTCTTGCTGGCAGTCACAACGTGGCACAGGGCATCACATGGCGAGAGATAGCATGTCTCTGTGTGTATCTGGTCTACCTCCCTGTTCCTATAAAGCCACCAGGCTCAGTCATGGGGCAGCGCCCTGGGACCTTAACTAATCCCGGTCACTTCCCAAAGGCTCAGCCCATGCGGTCTGACTCCACAGTCAAATTAAGTTTCCACCCTTTTCATCCCTCACAACAAGGATTAAATTTCAACACACGAAGCCTTGGGGGACACTCAAGCCCCAGCCAGACCACATCAGATGGCGTTCCCCTTGCTTCTGAAAAGACAGGTGTGAACATCTGCAGAAACCTGCTCAAGTTCCCCCCTAGTTTTCAGTGTCACTCCACGCAGTTTCTTTTGTTTGCAGCACTGGGGGCCATGAAGTTTCTTTGTTCTTTTTATAATGCATGACAGTGATTTGGTCCAGGGGTGGTTCCCCCTCATCCTTTTCTGGAAATGGAAAATTCACATCACATTCCAACTCCAGTCACTGCCCCCTTTGATGAAAAATTTGGGAATTGTCAATTTAAAATTAAAGAAAGTCCAGTCTTCTTGCTCAGTTTACAGCAACTTCACATGTTTCAGTAAGCTGGGCGAGGTCACAGAGAGGACAAATAAGCTCTAGACATCTGGAAAAGCTGCTGCCTTTTGTATTGCCAGCTGAGTGTACCAGTGTGTGCATCCATGTAGGGAACTTCTGGGGCCAAGGAAAGAGTCACCAGAAAGAAGTGGAATAGTCCCTTCTGTGGCCAAGGAAAGAGTCACCAGAAAGAAGTGGAATAGTCCCTGGGATTCACATGGGGCTGGGAATAGTCTGCATTCCCAAGAGCTGGGCTAGAGAATCTTTCTTTCTTTCTTTCTTTTTTTTCTTTTTCTTTTT